AACTCAGAATCAGAGAAAGTTGCATTCTATGCTGAAAAAAAAATGAATAAAAGAATTTAAAGGTGATAGAATTATTGTCTATTGATTTATAAAGGACTAGGCTTTTAAAAATATAGACTTTGAAGTCAGACATATCTGGGTATGAATCCAGGGTCTGCCACTTACCCATCAAGTGGCCTTGGGCAAATTACCGAACTTTTCTGAGCCTCAGTTTCCAGATTTGTATGACAGAGTTTGAACAGCTTCCTTGTAGGACTGTTGAGGGAATGAAATGACATAATACGTGTAAGTGCTTAGCACAGTGCCTGCCCAGAGTGTGTCTTATTTTTTTTTATAATGAAGGATAGTAAGGTACTTTTTCCTTTCAATGTCCTTAATTGAAAAAATAAGTTTGAACAATAAGAGCAACAAGCTGAGACTTACCCTAACAGATATTAAAACGTACTGGAAAACCTCAATAATTGAAACAGTGTTACTGGTGAATGAATATGTGTAGACAGTTCAATGGAGCAGAGTAGAAAGTCCCTAAAATATAGACATGTAGTATATTATATGTGGGCATTCATTAGGGCAAAGCTGGCTATTCCATGCATAGTATTGGGATGGCAGGTAGCTATCTGGACAGAATAAAGGTGGATCCATACTTTGTGCTGTGCAGCAGGATAAACTCCAAGTGGCTCTCAGATATAAACATAGACTGTGAAAAGACTAGAAGACAACATGGGAGAATTCCTTTATAATCTTGGATTATGACCTTTCAAACTATGATTCAAAAACCAGAAGCCATAAAAGACAAGACATTCAATTATGTATATATAAATATTTACATATGTAAATAACATATTTACATAGAAATAATCTAATTATCTATAAAACAAAAACTAAAAAGTCATTTTCATAGTAAAAAAAAAATACCATAAGTAAATCAAAAAGCAAATAACAAATGGGGGAAATATGTGTGGTTCATATCAAAGAAAAGGTTAACATAACAAAAGCACTTTCAAATTAAGAAGAAACCCAAAAAGCCATAGAATATGGGCAAAAACATGGACAATTTACAGAAAAGCAAAACAAATGACAATGACATTTAAATATATGCAAAGACATTATCATTCAGATGAAGACAGACATTTGAGACTTGAAAATGTTCATAGATGTTTAGAGACCTACGTAGCCAGGGTTTTTAAGATCAGTGCGTAGGGATGATGGCATGGTTGTATTTCTGGTGTTGTTTTAAAGACAAACAGGCTTTTGGAGAGTTAAAGAAGGGCTTTGTGGGGGTTTTTTGTTTTTGTATACTTCTTAAAAAGGAATCCTGAAAATTAAGTGAGTAAGGTTCTAGAGTGCAATGCTGAAGACTCACCTTTCAGTGTAGACTGGACAAGGCAGAAGGTAATGTTCTCACTGCCACGTGCATCTTCTCTCATTGTACCTGGGCAGCCTTCACAGAAGTTCTTACGTGAATACCTTATGGCATCACAATGAGAAATGTTTGTTTCTCGGCTTACTTTTTATATTTATAATTTTAATGTGCTGCTTGGTGCATTTTGAAATTTAATAAGGTTGTGACAGAACCCTGGTGCTGCTGCACCAAACACAATGTTTCTCTCAAACCAGACTTGGACTTTGTTTCCGCTCTTATCTTTTTTCATTTTGACAAAGCAAGCTGCATTTATTTTGTAGCAAAACTAATAAAAAAGAAACTTATCAAAGAGAACAAGATTAACTACAAAAACTAACCTTTTGCCAACCTTTATTTATGTAAAAATTTTACTGTTTCATGAAACCAAGAAGTAAAAATTAATAAAAACTCATAAATAACTGAATAAATAACAAAAAAGTTAATAGGAACAAGATTAACTACAAAGAGATAGTAATCTTTGCCAATCTCTATTTAAAAATTTTATTATTTCATGAAATCAAAAAGTAAAAACCAATAAAAACTAAGTAACAACTGAATAAATAACAAAAGGTAACAGGAAGGAGATTAGCTATAAAGAGTTGGTATCCCTTTGTCCATCTCTAATTTTGAATTGCACTGCTTCGTGAAATAAAGTCTGAGACTCGTGGATGATTCTAAAATCCCCTCCAGCTCTCTAGATTTCATTCCCTTGCCTGGTTAACACGGCAGGGCCGCTGCAAATGTGTTCCTCAGAGACCCAACTAATAAGCTTCTGTCCTTCCTCTCTGCGTCTTCCCTTAACTGCACCTTCCTTTCCTTTTCAGCCAAAGTTGAAGTCCTAATGCATGGCAAACCTTACCCCAGCTGAAGTCTCACCCAAACACACCAGGAAAGGCAACATAGCACAGGGAAGAACTCAAGTTTTGGAGTCAGGCAGGCCTGGGCTCAAATATTGGCTCTGCTGTTCACCCGCTGTGACACCTGAGTCTTAGTTTCTTTATCTGTAAAATAGGGATAAGATTAAAACTTACGTCATGGAATGGTTAGAAAGGAAATGTACATGAAGTCTCACTATATCATGTGGCATATAATAATAAGTGGATAATAAGTGAGTATATATGATTGCATTTGTGTGGTGACTGTGTATGAATATATAGGCACTATACCACACCTGCCTTTGTAATTGCAAACTCTGAAGACAGACATGTGTGCTTAGAATTGCTTAAGAAAAATCACAAGTGTTCATTACATAATTTAAAAACGAATCAAGAGGAAAACCATTGCTTCAAGAGAATACAATGTTCTGATGAGATGCTGGACATAGTTCCATGACTTTATATATGTTAACTCCTCTGATCCTGACAATAACCTTTAGGTAGATACTGTTATTATTCCCGTTCCATAGATGAGGCACAGAGAGGTTAAGTAACTTGCCCAATGCCACACAGTTAATAAGTGGCAGAGCCTGGAATCAAATTCAATCCGTGTAACTGCAGAGTCTATGCTTTTAACCACTGCAGGGGAAGAAAAAAAAAGCTCAATTCAGCCCCAGCTGCAATTATGGGTATCTCTAGATCTGCACTGTTAATACAGAGCCACTGGCTAGGCATGGGTATTTATTTATTTATTATTTTATTTATTTTATTTTTTTTTGAGACAGAGTCTCGCTTTGTTGCCTAGGCTAGAGTGAGTGCCGTGGCGTCAGCCTAGCTCACAGCAACCTCAAACTCCTGGGCTCAAGCAATCATCCTGCCTCAGCCTCCCGAGTTGCTGGGACTACAGGCACGAGCCACCATGCCTGGCTAATTTATATATATATATGTATATATATATTAGTTGCCAATTAATTTCTATTTTTTATAGTAGAGACGGGGTCTCACTCAGGCTGGTTTTGAACTCCTGACCTTGAGCAATCCGCCCGCCTTGGCCTCCCAGAGTGCTACAAGCGTGAGCCACCGCGCCCGGCCTAGGCATGGGTATTTAAATCTAAGTTAATTAAACTTAAGTGAAATTAAAAATTCAGTTCCTCGGTCACACTAGCCATATTTAAAGTACTCAACAGCCACATGTGGATGGCAGCTACCATACCAGGCAAAACGGACACAGACTATTTCCATCATCACAAAGTTGTATTAGCACATTGTTCCAGATAACTCTAGAAAGTATTAGCCAAACACAAGACACAAACTCAACAGGTACCGTGTGGATTTTCTTTTAATTAAATACCACTTCGTGATGTTATTTGCACATAGCACGTTTTTTAAAAAATAAGACACGCCACATTAGTCGTGAAGTTAACAAAATATAAGCATTCACATAGAATATATTCTGAGGTGACTTCATTTACACAGGTTCTCAGACAAACACAGAAGTAACTTTTTTTTGCCTATCAGCCAGTGTCGGACCAGATTTGGCATTCACAAGGCTGCAGGGCGGGTTCCCTAACGCTACCCTGATGGCCGTCTTGTATCCACACCGGGCCACTAAGCTGACTGGGGCTGGTTTCCACCAGAAAAGCAATGCAGACATCAGCCCTCTCTTCTCTACCCAGAGTTCAACTCCACATGCAAAAACCCTGCATGAACTTGAAGCTTGATGTGATGGCAACTGAAGTTTAAACCCAAGATTGGTGAGCTAGCTTGCTTTAGGCACCTGGCTAGGAAGGAGGTTGCAGGTGTGATGCTTAATGCTGCTTAGAGCATTCAAGAGAGCATGGGGAGGTCAGAGCCATGAGTGAGAATAAAGAATCAGGGCTGTGAGTGGAAAGGTGATGTTCGTCTTCCCCGTCCCAACAGTCAGCGCTGCTTACTGCCACCAGCATACAGTCTGTTTCCACCTAGGGACAAAGACTGGGAGAAGCTGGCTCAGGATTCAGAACCCGGGTGATGAGTGCCCCACAACCGCCTGTTCTTCAAGTGACCTACCCTTGACTTCCACTTAGGAAACCATCCTGTAACTTTCTGCTCAGCGCTCTCGTGGCTCAGCTATGTGGAGTGATGCCACTGCCCTAGAACTGAAGGCAGGGGAGCTGCCCGGGCCCCAGCAGCAGTGCCTGGGTGGCATTGTCCCCAAGATCTGCAGCAGACCTGAAATTACAGAGCACTTTCATCTACTCATCTCAAGAGCTGACTGGCCCAGTGCTAAAAGGCCCATAACAACAAAGGGAAGGAGGAGCAGAGTAAGTTTGGGAGCACACATACTGGAATTACTGATCACCTAGGTCTGCCGCATCTCAACAGCCCCCTGCTCAGCTTTATCCGCTCTGCCCTCTCCCCCAGCCTTAGAAACATCACTTGGGAAATGAGGAATATCTGAATAGCAGCAAAACCTGATTTTATTTCCCCCTTTGTGTTCTATTCTTGCAGGCTTGACCTCAAAAGGTAACTTATTACCACTTCTGATTCTTCCTCTACACGGAACAAGCCTTCCTTTCCAACCAGTGCTGGTCCTGCCATTCTCCTCCTTATGAACTATCAATGGCTCCCATTCACTCTAGGATACGTTTTACACTTCTCAGGCAGGTACTCAAGACCTCCCATGATTTGGTCTTCGCTGCTTATCTTTCAAGGCCTGTCTCCCACCACCTTCCCTAGCGCTCTTTTTTTTTGGCCAACCTCCACTCCCCATCTCTGTGCCTTATGAAAATGCTGGCTCCTCTGCCTGGGGGGTGATCACCCTACTTTCTATGCTTTGCTCAGATCTTAGCTAGATTTGCTACCCATTTGTGAGTAGAGCCCAAACCGCCTCCAGTTCTGAATGGCCCTTTGGGCTCAGGCATGACCTTTAGCAGGTCAACCATGACTCACTGTCTGTGGCCCAGTATTGGACTTAACCTATCACGGCCTGCCCTGCCAGAGGTTCTGGGGTATTTGTGTCTCCCCAGCTGGCGTGAAGGGCAGGAACTATATCTTATCTTTGTAGCTTTGGCCCTCCAAGTGCTTAACACACACATAGAAAATGCCCTATAAATATTGTTGAGTTGCTGCCCATCCTAAGGTGAAAAAAAAGCTATTGTCTGTTGCCTTCTTAGGCATTAAGGACACAATACAGAAGTGGTCAAGACACAATACAGAAGTGGTTATCGCAGGCAACAGATGTCGGAATTTCTGAAGTCAAGGTACTAAATCGGTATTAAGCACAATCCATAAAGATAAATGAGCTATCAACACTGGTCTATTAACACTGGTGTCTTGCCTATTGAAGGCTGTCTAGGAAGCAGTGAGTACAGTTCTAAGAAGTATTCACTGGATGAAGAAATGCCACAGATCCTATGGGGATTATTCAACCTGCCAAGAAGAACCCTAGAGAGGAAACGACCAGTAACTCTAACCTCCTAACAGGGGTGCATGGAGCCCTGGGGGTTTTAGCAGACTTTTTTTTATTTTCCATTATTAGGCTTTCCAGGTGTGGGACCTCTGGATTACTGGCATCAGGATCGTTGGTGATGCCAGTTAAGAATGCAGTTCCATTTAATCAGTGTCTGCAGTTGGGTGTAGGAATCTGCACTTTGCAGAAACGCCTAGGAGGTCCTTATGCTCATTAAGGTGTGCAGACCTTCACCTGCCACTCTCTAAAGTCTACAGTCAGTCTAGGGGAAGACAGTCATGTACAGAAAGAAAGAGCCCAGTTTTGAGAATGCTTGCTTCTCCCAGACACGTGTGCTCAGAGATGAAGACCCAGGAAGTCCCTATTGATTTCAAGGAAACTGACCAATAAGTCAAGCTGGGTTGACCGAACTTTGTAAAGGAGAGTGCAGAGATGTGTGAGAGGCTGTCTCTGAAATGACTACCCCCAGCCTTCCCAGGGGTCACTGGTATGCAGGGAAAAAAATAGCAGGTAACACAGCCAGATGTTCTGTCTGTCCTCTTTCAAAGTGGTGCAATTACCTTTTGTGAGATTAAGAGGGATTCTCCTTCCTTTCTGGGCTGCTCACCCTTGCTCCTATCCTGCTCAATCTTCCCCTTAACTTCCCCGTTCTTTTGGGGGGAAACATCATCATGTAGTTCTCACAGGCCCCAAACCAAATTAGTTTTCAGAGCAGATCCAATATAAACACATCCAGCATGTCTTCACCGGAAGGACAGAGACAACTGGAAGGCAGACGTCTATTTCCTGCACGAGTGACAGAACGTCCTGCCCAGGGGTGGCCCACTCTGCCACTTGGGGACAATGTGAATGTTATACACATACAGCGTCATGAGTGGCACGGGCAGAGGTCAGGCATGCACGCGAGGTGGAGGAAGACAGATTTAGGGGTCTACAACCTTTCCCTGGATCTGAGAAGTAAGAGGAGCCTCTGCCTTGCCTTAGGTCCTGAAGAAAGTGGCAACCTTGGGTCACTGACCGAGGGAGCTCAGTTCCCATCCTGCCGATGGTAAGGCGGCTTTCCAAATCCCACTGGGCTAAACCAGGCAGAGGCTGAATTCCGAGTCTCCCACCTGGAATAGCCTTTCATCCCCTCACTCTCACCCCCATCATTTGAAATTTCCAAGACCAAGATAATGTATCCTTTGCCAGAGACAAAGGCTTTCCGAGATCGCTATCCATACAGTTCTCAGTTTAAAAAAAACGAGACTTGAAAGGCAAGTTTTAGAATTAAGGGTTGAGTCACTGCCGGCCTGGCTTGAACAGTTACAAATCAAAGGAGTGAGTCTCATTCCTTCTTGGTGTGCTCCAGGACTCGGTAGGGCACCCCAGAGGTGCTTCTGGGCCCGTGCTCTTCTTGCATGACTGGCAGGGTGGCAGGGGTGTAGATCTCTGAAATGTTGTCGTTGTTTTCCAGGGCCCCGTAGGAAAAAGAAGCTTTGAGGTCAGGCTGGACAGTCATCCCCTTGTCATGCATGTTCTGCATACCTGAAAAGAAACCCATTTTCCCCAAATCATTACATGGTAAGAGTGCCAAGAAGGCTGCATTCTCCCTCCATCCCAACCACAGTACTCAGGAGCTAATCGTGTGCACTGTCGACTTCCTGAATGCTTTCAATTTAAAAGAGAACCATCCATAAATATACATTAGAAATACTACAGTTGCTGAGCAACAAGGGACGAATCTTCAGGAAGTATGCACACAGACCAGCCACTGTCGAGAGGAACCCTTGGCCGGCCTCGAATGAGGTGGGAATGGCTGTTTGGGCCCCGGGTGGAATGGAACTGGCACTGTGCTTTGAACGTGGTAGATGCCAACACTTCACTGCTGAATTAAATCAGGATCTGGGCAACTTCATTCCACCAGTGAAAAAAGAGGGCAATTTTTTATGTCATGGACATCTGAAGGTGATAGAAGCACCACGGTGCCCAGAGGGAGAGTTTTGACCGTGAACATTAACATCCCTGGTCCACATATAGGGTAAGGTGCGATTTTGCTTATCACTTCCAGGCACACTGATGTTGGATTCCTACGTACATTTGACAGCAAAGACTTTAATCTTTAATTTCTTTGCCCTTATCTTGCAATTCGCGCAGTGGGGGTGGCGGGGTGGGGAAACCTGGTTACTTTTGAGGCCAACTCTTTTCCTGCCTGGGAATTAAAACCCTTCAAATTCTCCTGCCCTCAGGCTGAGTCATAAGAAATTGAATGCAAAGTGTCTTCATGAAACCATGATGATGATAGCAGCTGACATCTGACTGCTTAGTATGCCCTGGGCATGGGGCACTTGAAATAGTAATAGGAACAAAGCTAATGGCTAACGTGTACTGTTTAGTTGGTGTAGGACACTGTTCTAAAGTTTATCTCATTTGATCCTCAGGATGACTAATAAGGATAATGAGGCAGTTGGAGGGTTAAGCAACTTGCCTGAGATCCCACAGGTAGCAAGTGGCAGTGCCAGGGTTCACACTCTGTGGGTTTAAACTTGTAAGTCCACACTTAACTGAATGCTGTGTGGCCTCCCTATACATCTGCACTTAATCCCCAAACAACCCTATGACAGAGATGAACTACTATTCTCATTCTTATTCTCTAGGTAAGAAAACAGAGATTCAGAGAGGTGAAGTAACTTGCCCAAGGCTACACAGCTCACGAGAGTCAGGGCTGGGATCTGACACCAGAACCTGTGCTCTTATCCCCTCTGCAAACGCCCGGGAAGACTTGGGCTGTGGAAGTCTTTGCCTCCGTGTTGCACAAGACTCAGCTGATGGCCCTTTGAAGCACACAGTTGAAGAGTCTGTGGTGTGGATTTGGGGGAGCGGGGGAAGCTCAGGGGTGCCTGTTTCTCAGGGAAGAGAGCTGGCTTACCAGGCATGGATTCGATTTTGGATTTTGTCAATGCCCTCCAGCCAGAGTCCGTAGGAATGAACCTACAGCCTAACAATTTGGGTTCACTGAGTCACTGTATGCAAGAGAGGTACACCAGGAGAACCAGGAGGTACCTGAGTCAGAGGGAGTTAGAAAGCACTTATGGGATTTGGGTTTGGGTTGAGTGATTTTGGGGAGGGTTCAAGGAAGTGAGGCTTTGCTTTGGATTAGATGCTGTCAGGAAGCAGGGATAATGCTGCAATGGGGGATCTTCATAATCCTTATCTATAAGACGAGGAGATGAAGGCTAAAAATGTGACTGGTGAAGTGGCAGCAGTCTCTCATATTAGCCCAGGGGGATGGTTGGCTTAGACAATGTTCACGTTTTATCTATGTTCAGACACGGTAACGGTGGTCCTGTTTGTGTCCTGATCCTTCACGGTCACAGAGTGGCCTTGTCTGCTGATGTTCTGTGCAATTGTTTATGTCCACAGGAGAAGGCCAAGGCCCGGCTGTGAGTGTCAGGCCAGCTCCTGGAGGACAGGGGCTGTTTTTTCTCTCTCATTTTTAAGAAGTCCTTCAGGCGCTTGAATTACTTAAAGCCTCGCCAAATTGTAAGACATAGTGAATTCTGGAATTTGAAAACTTCTTGAATAGCAGCCACTGGTCTAGCGTGAAGATACCAGTCTAGGCAGACAAAAGACAGGGTCCTGATGCTGACTGACCAGGGAAACCAAGTGGCTAGAAAATCGTCTCTGTTTAAGCTGAGACTGCCCAGCAGTTTTATTCTGCTTGTTCTACCTGCCACCAAACAAGGGTTTGAAATTTTCCAAATTTTTTAAAGCAAAAGGGAAGTGAAACCAAATAAACCCAGGCATCTACCATGTCCCAGGCACCGTGCAAGAGGCCTTTACACATACAATCCCACTACCCCGAAAGGAGGAATCCCAATTTACAAGTCAGCATGGGAGGCCCTGGGAGGTCACACAGCAGGTAGGTGGCAGAGCTGGGATCTGGATCCAGGTCACCTGAATCCCAAGCCCAGGTTCTGTGTGGTACAGAACACATTTACTCTCAGGGTCTCCTTTCAACATCTGGCTTCCCACTGGTCTAAAGGTACAAAGAGAAAGCTGAGAACCACACCCCAAAACAGACCACAGAATGTTGATGTCTAAGAGTACCTTAGGTTACCTTCTATTTTGCACCAGAAAATACGTCTGTATATATGTGTATACAAATATTTATATAGATATATACACATACATAGTTTATAAATGCACAAACCCACATATACATACACATACTTGCACGCACAGAGTTGACACCTCACCTATCTGGAATTCAGCTATCCAGCGCCCTCATCTATCCGGAACACAGCCGAGAAACAAGGAAGTAAGCAAAAAAGGCATCTGAGCAGCCAGATTAGATGTTTAAAAAGTCCATGCACTAAAGCTCATGCACTTAACTCCGAAGAGAATCCTTAGGTCCCCAACTCAGAGCTCATTCATTTTGATTTTATACGTTCATTTGAACAAGTTGGGTGAAATAAGACTGACATGGAGTTGCTATGCTCAGGCAGGCTGGTAACGGCAAGAATGACAGACAACAGCTCAATAGCAAGAGATGAGGAAATAATATAAAAGTAGACACACAAACCCCTACATTTAATGTAGGAGCACCTCGGTCATCCCTGAGAACACACTTGCACCCCAGCGGCAGTACTCTGGGCCATCAGCGAGTTTATATTTTGTTCACTGAATTGTGTTCATGTAGGATGGGAGATTACAGTTTGGAGAGAGTTCTATCTTATATTTTTAAAATAAAATAGATTTTGAGTTAACATGTGAAAAGTAATGGTCACTGGCAACCTACAGAATTTAGATCAGCAAATGTAAGTGTGGCTAGTGCGACATCTTAACTTTTCTATTCTGCATGCCTTGAGGCTAGACAAGCACGCTCCAGTTCTCCGCAGGCCCCCACTGCTCCCTACTGCACAGTATTTGGCTGATTCACATGTTTATGTTACTGTCAGGCTTAAAGGCACTTGAGTTTGTGCTTCTCAGTATGAATCCTAGGCTCCCTGGGAAATTAGGCTTTCCAAAACAATCCTCTCCCTTGTGGAATCCAGGGAGTGAGGTTTACAGTGTTTGAATTTCATTCACCCTATTTTCCTTCCCCTCTCTGATCGTTCCGTTCAGACCGGATGAATGGATTTTTCCACTGGCAGGCATGAAGCCTGGTGCCGCGGGTCATAATTATATCCAGTGTGAGTCAGGATTTCCTTTGTAAGGTCCTGAAATAGACATGGGAACTGGCAAGATGTGCTCAAAACCAGCTGAGGAGCCTCAGCCATTGCCTCCTCTATTGCACGGGATTCAAAACACAAACAAACAAACAAAAAAAGAGGGTGAGAGCAGTCACACCCAACAGCACAGCAGCTGGTTGTCTTTTTAAACAGGAAGTAGCAATCACTCTATACGGACAGTCAGTGGGACCCATGGGGTTTTAAGGTTACCTGGCATGGCATCCATGGAGATATAGGGCTCAAATGGAATGGCCTTCTTTCTGTTACGCGTGATTAAGAAGACGCCCAAGAATGCAATGAGGCACCTGAGGAATGAGATAAGAGAGGAAGAGAAATAAGGCCAGGGGCGAGGCTGGGGAGAGAGACTTTCAATTTCGGCTGATGAGAAAAGGTAAAAAGAAGGCTTGCAGGCTGCTGGGTCTGGAGCAGCAGGAGCAGACGCTAGCTGAGTAATCACGGCTCGAGTGGCCCCAAGCCCTACATGCACCATAAAATGTAATCAGAATAAATTAGACTCTCTTGGACAAAAACTCTCATGGTTCTTTGCTTCCGCTCAGCTGCTATTCTCAGAACCTTGCCTTGAAAAATGGTTTTAAAAAATTGTTTAATGGCCTAAATTCAATCAGTACAAAAGTATAGAAAGTGAAAATTGGGCCAGGTATGGTGGCTCATGCCCATAATCCCAGCATTTTGGGAAGCTGAGGCAGGAGAATCACTTAAGGCCAGGAGTTTGAGACCAGCCTGGGCAACATAGCAAGACCCCATTTCTATAAAAAAATTTAAAAAAATTAGCTGTGTGTGAGCTGAGGCAGGAGGATCACTTGAGCAAAGGAGTTTGAGGTTAAACTGAGCTATGATCGGGCCACTGCACTCTAGCCTGGGCAACAGAGTGAGACTCTGTCTCTAAAAAAAAAACAACAACATAAATTAAATAGTAGTAAAAATTGGAAAGTCCCTTTACTCCCTGGTTCTATTTACTCAGGTAGGTATATTTTCTTCCAGAGTTTTTTTCTTTTCCCTATAGCTTATACAAACAAGCATGCTTTCTCAAAATTGAGGGATAATTTTCATGCATGAAAAGGCATAAGCCCTAAATATACAGCTGGATGAATTTTAGTTGTGTAATCCCCACCCAGGTCAAGATATAAAATATTTCCATCCCCCCTAGAAAGTTTCCTGTGCCCCTTCCCAATTCACGCCAACCTTCCCCAGAGGTAACTACCACTCTGACTTCTTTCCCCACAGATTAGTCTGTTCTTGAATTCATGTAAGTTAAATCATACAGTATATACTCTTTTATGTCTGGTTTCTTTCATTTGATAAAACATGTTTAAGATTCACCTACTTTATTGCATGTGTTAGTTCATTATTTTTCATTGCTGTGTAGAATCCACTGTTTGACTATACTACAACTTTTTTCAACCATCCTGTTGATCGACATTTGGGTTATTTCCAACTTGGGCATACTATGAATAAAGGTACTATAAATACTCACGTCTGAGTCATTTTGTCAATATATGTACTCACTTCTTTTGGGCGAAAATCTGGAAGTGGAATTGTGGATCATAGGGTAAGCCATGCTTTAAAAAAGTTTGTGACTTTTTTCATTGAAGTGTTCTAGACACGCTTCTGTGTCAGCACCTATGGGCTGGCCTCGAGTTTCCAAAATGGCAGCGTAGCATGTTATTAGCTGAACTTACAATGATTTTCTTTTAACCCATGCTCTATTGCTGGGCGTTTCTATTGCTTCCAATTGTTTGCTCATACAACTAACTTAAAAATTAATAAATAGTCTCACACATCTGTCTTTGTGTCCCCATTGAAATATTTTTCCAAAATCAATGATTAGAAATAAATGGAATGTTGCATCTAAACGTATGCTCATTTTTTTAAATTAGTGTTGCCAAATTGTCTTTCCGCATTAAAGTACTGCTCGAGTGTGGTAGCGAACTGGCCTCCTCATCCTCCTGCCAACATGGAATACTGTTAGTTTTTGCAAAATGATGGTACCTCATGTAGCTTCAATGTGTATTTCTTAGATATGAAGTGAGGTTGAGAGTCTTGTCATGTATCAAAATGTGATATTTTAGAAATGCCATGGAGATTAAGGCCGAAAAGAGAAGAAAGCAGAAGGAGATAAAGCCCTTTGGAGAGTAAACTGCTCACCTCCGGGGACAAAGCTCCAAAGCCCAGCAGCTTCCCTGACCCTAAAGGACCGAGCAGCTGCAGCAGTAACAGGGACAGGGAGGCGACTTGCCTGGAATTCTACCCGCCACGCCCCGGGGCCAGCCTGCGGGACGGAACTCACCCCAGTGCAAACATGCAGATGTGTAGCACGTCCTCCCCGATGAAGTCCAGGTAGAATATTGCGCCTACAGCGGCAGATAATAAAAAATACTCGTGAGCTGTTTTCAAATCGCCCACTTGCCAGTCTGTCTAGGATTTGGCTAAGCTCTCTTCCCTGCAGGAAACCAAAATGATCAAAGAGTATTATGCCTGTGCCTGGTAAAATATTAGAAGAATGGAATAAAAGCCATTGGGGGGAACAGGCTGTCTTCTTTTTTCCCCCCTTGGGCCTCAGTGATCTCCATCTTTTGATTCTTTTTAAAACTTTTATTTTGAGATAATATTAGACTCACAGAAATAGTCCAGAGTCCCCATGTACCTTTCTTCCAGCTTCCCCCAATCATATCATAACCGCAGTGCACGATCAAAGCCCGGAAAACAACAACGAAACACTGCTACTAACTAAAGCGCAGACGGCATTTAGCAGTGTTTACACACCCCTTTGTCATCCTCTTAAGATGGATAAACAAGGCTCTGTGTTTATGCTGTTGGAGCTCTCTAACCTCACGTGGCCAGCAGGTGCCAAGCCTGTGGTCCACTGCTGTGGCATGGGAGTTGCGTGGGCTGGCCCTGGCCTGAGCCGGCCTCTGTCTGGAGTCATTTCGGCTCCACAGGTCGGTGATGTCTCCCTGAGCTCCTGATTTCCTGCTGTGACTTCTGTTCCTGACTCCACCATGGTGCTTGCTAATCCTTCTAACCCTGGCCGGCATGCACTCCTCCTGACCAAGGTGCTTGACTGTGACGGAGCTTGGCTTCTGGCTGCTCTGGGTCAGTGCCCTGCGGCCCTGGGTACCGCTCACAGCGCAGGCCCTGGAGGGCTGTGACCCTGCTGGCTCCCACCTCTGTGAATGGGAACCGGGGCCCCGCCTGTCCAAAGCGTTAGGCAGAGTGTGTGGCCTGACAGCCAGGCCTTCTTCAAAGACAAGCCCTTGGTTCTTATTGGACTTTTTACTGTGAAGATGTTAGTCCTCATAAAATACAAACAAACAAACAACAGACTCTTTGATATGATTGCAGCCTCTGAAGCCACCTCAGAAAGAAAATAAAAATTTAGGGATAGACTAGAGGAACAGGAGAACAATGACGATTGCTTTCTGAGCATCTGTGATGTTGCAGACGCTTCACCTACTCGTGATCTCTAGAAATCACGCAGAAGACGTGTGGTCACTTGGCCAGTGGCAGTTGTAGAGCTGGCAGATGATGGCAACATTGTTAAACAGCACACGGTATGGAGCAGGAGACATTCTGATTGTATATATTGCAATTCTAGGAGGTGGGTGTTATTACTTGCATTTTATAAATGTCGTACTGAGGCTCAGAGAGGTTAAGTGATGTTCCCAGAGCCACATAGCTACTGCGTGTCTGTGTGGGGCTGCAAACCCAGCCTCTCTGGCTCTAAATCCTGCACATTCTCCATGAAACTATATGTAACTCTGATGAGCAGAACAAGCGAGCAGACTCGGCCTATAGACGGGGCAGAGCCCCCTCCCTCCACCCTGGGATAATGCCCCTGCCAGGGGAGAAGACAGACATCTAGCAGCTGGCCACTCTTACCTGCTGTGATAGCGACCGTTGTAGACAGAATGTAGCCCACGCTGGCAATCAGAGAAGAGTCATACATCTGTGAGGCTTGACTTAAAAACCTTCAACACAAAAGCAGTCAAGTCAGTGGGCTGTGGGATATCGGAAAGCCTAAGGCTTAAGCTGATGGTAGCAGAGTTTGGTTTGAAATATAAAGATGGTACGTGAAGGAATATTCCTTGGGTTCGTAAAAATGCCATCGTCATGTTCCAGGGCACCATGTATCCCTGGTCTGCAGTCCACGTTTGGCTCCCTTCTTACCCCAGACACAGCCTGAGGTCCGTCCCATTTCCCAAGTGGACCATGTCCTTCCTGGTCTCATACCTTCGACCCTGTGGTTCTTATCACCTGAAATGCTCTTCTCCTCACCCCACTAAAAAGAGCCATTCCTGGGTCACTTATACACCACGTGCCCAAGAAACTCTTACAGCACTTATCATTCTGCCTAGTGTAGTAATTGTTCTTTTAGACAAATTTTCTTAATTTGAAAATAATGTAATCATCGCGATAAATACAGGAAAAAGAGAGAAAATTTGAGTCATTCCTATTAACTCCATCTGTGATAAACAGTACCCCCATTTGGGAATATATTCTTTGTCCTTTCTCTGCATAGCATTTTAGTTATCATTGTATAGTTGCTAATACCATAACATACCCCTCAATTGTGACAGTCTGCTTACTGGCTGTCCCCCTCCCCCACAATGAGTCCCTTGTGGGCTGTGACTACCCTCATCGTGTCTGTGTACTGAAGCCCTCCACACTGTGCTGACTGGTGAGTGACAAGCTCCCTGGGAGGCCTGCAGGGGCAGCTGAGTCATCTCTGTAGCCCCTGGAGTGCTCAGCACAGAGACCTGCACCGGTGGGGGCTCCCTGGTGAGGACTGGAATTGTCGTAGTAGGACAAGAAGTAATAATACCAAGGACAATAACCATAGAAGCAGATCCTGTTTATCAGACACTGTCCTAGGCACATTCTCCCAAGGGCTTTATGTGACTGTCTTAGGTGGGAATGATTACTGTTTTCATTTGCAGATGAAGAATCTGAATCTCAGAGAAGCTGAGTGGGAGGCAGCAGAGCAGAGTGGTGAGGGTGTGGCCAGGGGACAGATCTCAGCTCTGCCGCTTGCTAGCCTCTTGTCCTGTCTTTGCTTCAGTTCCTCATGTGCAAAATGGGGATATCATCACCTGCCTCAAAGGGGTACTTGTAAGGACCAAATGAGTTGGTTCCAGAAAGTGCAGAGAATAGAGCCCCTCACACTAAGCACTGGTCAGTAGCAGCTACTCCTGTGGTCTTGGAGGCCACGTGGCGGGTGGATCGTGAGCCCAGGCCTGAGCAGGAGCTGGAGCTTCCCAGGCTGCACAAGCCTCACCCACCACCGAGTCCTGCACGCCCACCTGGGCCTGTCACCTGCAGTGTTCCTTCCAGGCTCTCTGCTGGGCACCAGACTCAGACAGGAGCAAGACTCGGGCTGTGCCCTCACTGCTCTGCTTAGAGAGAGGAGGGAGCTCCTTGCCCTTCTACTTGGGAGGATCTGGGGAAATAACTTGAGGATAAGAAATGACAATTTTTAATTTCCACCCAGTGGACAAGTAGGTGCCTCCTAGAGATGGCAAAGCTTCTGCGGTCCCTGAGACGGACGCCTGCCTTGGAGAAGACGGAAGTGAGGCTGCCTCCGACCACACACTGCTCATATTCTAAGGCAGAGGGTAAAAACCCACAGCCACCCCGGCTTCCTCGATCAAGCGGCATAGACCTCCTCCATGTGAAGACTCAGCCAGTTAGCAAATCTTCCCTCTCCATGCTGGATGTCAAACCCCAGTGATCTGAGTTCCTGCCTCCCTACAGCTCACAAACAACTGGAATCAGGCCCCCAGAATGGAAGGGACCCAAATGATGAGGCCCAGCAAGAAAAGAATTTGCAACTCACGCGGCTTGGTAGATGGCGGTTGCCACCATGCACACGAACATCACGTAGAAGATGGGGTAGTCGAGCTGCAAGTTCCCTTGAATGGACAAGACAAGCATCCCGGCCACGGCCTTGACCGTCACCACTGTCATGGAGCCTGCGGATGGTGAACAAGGGCGTGTGGGAGCCTCAGGGAAACACGGGGAGTTAGGCCCTGAAAGTCAGTTTGTAACCCCGAAGACTCAGTTTGAGAAAGAAGGGAGGGAACACGCACGGGTAGAGCCAACACAGTGAAAAGGCATCATTTGCATTGGGTCACTTGTGTGTCCCCTCCATGGACTGCTCACCACCTGTCCGCACAGGTGTTTCCTTTGGTGTTTGGAAACACCAAAGCAGGTGTGTCCAAGTGTCACTGCTAAACCCTGCCAAGCATGGGTAGGGTGTCCAGTTCTCTGAACCCTAGAGTGCCCAGCCCTGTGCCCGGAACATGGTAGGAGGCCAAAAGGATGTAGGAATAGATAAATGAACTTTTGAGTATCGGCTGTAGTAACAGCTCGGGAGTGTTTTTTGTTTGTTTGTTTTTTCAGTGTTCAGTCACTCGTACTTTTAAAATTATTCTTTAGACCAGAGTCTCCAACGTTTTGGTATGCACACCACTATATGTCTCCACATCCATTTCCAATATACATATATTTATTTATTTTAACATTATAGTCATATAACACTATACTTATGTTATGTACATTATAAAACTTGTACAGGAAATATAATTTAAAAGGTAGAGAAAAAAATTATAGCAGTTGTAACATTTTCTTCCTACACACCCCGTGCACCCTCCCGCTCACCTCATTACGGAGACCATAGCTTTACTCAGTGGTGCAGAAATGACTGTCAGATCCCCTGGCCAAAGGGGAGTTAAAAGAAACCACCCCCAAGACGACACAAAGGAAGCCCCTGTCCCAGCGGGACGCTCTGCTTCCCTGCCCTCTCAGCCTGTTTATTTAGCCTTGTCCTGCCAAGCTGGTACACACCGTGCTTGGGCCACTGCCCATTAGGCTAAGGTTCCAAACATCAGCAACATTTAAAGCAGCACTTGTCATCGGGTGTTCCTTGTTAGTGAGAAGGGATAGGCCAACTGCCTCAGAACCTTCTGTCCTTCTGACTCACAAGGAGAGGACACTTCAGGACCATGATCTTCCAATCCACTTAGAACACAAGTCACAAGGAAGGAGGACTAATCATGCTCAGCATGAACGGACCTCAAAAACATTACGCTCAGTGACAGAAGCCAGTCACAAAAGCCACACCAGTAAGATCCCATTGATATAGGAAAGGCAAATCCAGACAGACAGAAGATAGAGTAGTGGGTGTCTGGGCTGGAGGAGGGGACATGGGGAGGACTGTTAAGGGCACAGGGTTTCTTTGATGACAAAAATTTAAAATAGAGGAGTGCACAACTCTATGAATATACTAAAACAACACTGAATTGCATATTTATTATTTTTGAATTACATACTTTAAACAGGTGAACCTTATGGTATGCAAATCATATCTCAATAGAGTTTAAAAAAAATCAAATTACTGCAACCCTGTCTCAGTGACTGATACCTGTGTGGTTTACGGCCAGTGGCCGGGGTGGGGCTGGTGGCGGGGGGGACAGAAGAGAAATACACACAGCGGGCACTTGTGCGCATCCCCTTGGGTGTTCTCAGTCGTCCCTTTTTAGGGAAGAGGGGGAGCCACCGGCCGGAGGCCGGGTCTGGAGGAGCAGCCTGGCGGGAGGCTCCACCAGCCCTGACCCCAGCCCGCTCCTCCTGCTCTGTCCGCTCCTCCTTCCTCAGGAAGGACAGGGTTCTCGCAGCTCTACTTAGTGTGTCAAATTAGGTGCAGGTACAGCCTTGCCTCAGCCTGAGTCAGGAGCCCTCTCCCCATAGCACCTGTCCTTCTAAAAGGAAAGAAAAAAAAAAAGCACCCAATCTAGTTTTGCCTTTGACTCCAGAATTCACTCCTGACCTCAGACAGGTTCTGCGTGGACCCTTCAGGGCTCAGCGCCAGCACCTGCTCCACTTCTGCCTTCCCTGCAATGGCCTGTCAGCCCCGCTTGCCCTCACTCGGCTGCCCTCGTCCTTACTGCCCAAACTTACATCAGCTGTGAATTTGGCTACTTGTTTACTGCCATGATCTCCCTTTAGAATGTAGGCTCCCTGAGGCCAGGGCTTTGTCTCCGGCCAGTGCGGACCCAGCCCCCTGCAGCCTCGACTGAGACGGAACCACCTGAGCCGGCCTCAGGCAGCTCCTGTACCCGGAGGCAGCAGCTCTGCAGACAGAACCCATGCTTCCTCTCCGCCCTGCCCGCCGGTGGCAAAACTCCATCCCCCAGGCCCCCCAGGCCCCCACTTACCGAGTAACGCCACCAACAGAAGGATGACGATGATGTTGTTGGCATTCTTCTCCTTGTAGAAGTACAGCAGCAAGCAGAACAGGATGATCTCCACGAGCTGTGGGGAGCAGCAGGCGGGAGGTCAGGGGGGACCACAGGGACAGGCCAACCTGGGGGACTCCAGGTGGGCCGGCCTGTAGCTTAGGCCACTGATCCCATCAAAGTCACAGGCACTAAAGGTGAAAGGGAAGTGAAACAAGCAGCATTTCCCAAATACTGACAGATACTCAGTGGACAAGGGAAGCACTGAGGGAACCTCTCTAACCCCTGCATAATACTAAGGAGGAATTCCCCATTCCCCGCAGGCTAAAGCTCTGAGGGTGACGTGACTACCTCATGTCCACGCGTCTTGGATGGCCACGATTCATCAGGCTGAGATGGTTTCCTCCCACCCCACTGCTCCATGGCTATCCCCATTAAAACTGGGGTCAGTCAAAGAGGGAGACGCTTGTTCACAAGCTTTTCGATCAAGAATCCAAGTACACACTGCCCTTGCCCCCAACCAGGCCTCCGGCGTGTGAGGCTTGGCAGAGCAGACAGAGGAAGGCAATGGAGTCAGGAAGACCTGGGTTGGAAGTTGGATCTGCCTCTGAACTAGCTGTGTGACCTTGGGCAAGTCACTTAACCTCTCTAAACCTTAGTTACCTCTTCTGCCAAATGGAGATAATAGTTCTTTATAGGGCCATGATCATAGCTTACATTTAATGAATGCTTAAATTTAATGTACACCAGATACGATTCTAAGCATTTTGTCTACACTAAATTCACTAAATCTGTACAATAACTCTAGGAAGTAGGTACTACCACAACCCCAAGCTGGTAAACGCCAGGGCAGGATTTGAACCTGGACAGACCGGCTCCCAAGCCCCTGCATTTTCCCCCCAGGCTACACGGTCTGAAGGCCCCATGCCTGGTGTGTAGTTAGGATGTGGTCGATCAGCAGAAACTTACTATTTATTAGACACCAGCAAGTCTGAGTTTGAGAAGCTTCCCGCCTCTGCATCAACCACTTGTCCTTTCTACCCCTTAAAAGGCCAGACATTTGGCAATGACTTTCCCAGGAAGGAAAGTCAGCCCGGTACCCGCCGCAACTAAAGCAGAAAACTCTGACGACGCCACAGCCCCCTGCCCACCTCGGACCCCTACTGGAGTTTACTTAGTACAAAAACCAATGCAGAAACACTAATGAGTATTTTGAAAATCTAAAAAAATTTCTTCTAATTAGAGACCGTAAAACACAGCTGTGTTCATTTCCACGTTTCTTCCCTGCCTTTGTTCCAGTGAATGCGCACTTGCCTAGCTGTCATCGCGGTGAATGCGCAACTGTGTATTAGTCACCATAAACAGTCTTCGTGTTTTATGAGGTTGTCATAATTATCTCTAATCGCCGCAGAATACTCCACTGAGCAGATGTGGAGTCACTCGTCAACATCCCCAACCACCGTGCAAGAGTCCGGGGCCCAATGTGCCCGTCTTCCTTCATGACGGTCCCTCACGGTCCCCAAACGGATGGGAGCAGCACTCGGCGTCATGTCGTGAGGCGGCTGTGCCTACGTGGGTGTCTCCCGACACCCCGTGAGTTCTGTGAGCATGTCTCATTGATTTTTATATCCGCAGTGTCTGGCACAGAGCAAATGATAAATATCTATCGAATTTGTTTTGGGAAAATCTCTCTAGCGGGCAGCATTGCCTGACAGTCACGGAAGTAACAGTCACTCCCTGAGCATCTACCATGTGCTGCGTGATGTACATGCTACCTCCTGGCTCTCTTGACATCAGTCCTAAGTCCAGTGATTCTTGCCATTTTATACAGAGAGAAACAGAGAGGGAAGGTGACTTGGCCAAGGCCACACAGCATGTGAAGGATTTGAGCCCAGGACTCAAAGCCTCTGGGGCAAAGCTTTGTCTGAAGAGGTGGGTCTGTGGTTCTGTCCCGTGGACATTTCTCCACGTCCACCAGGAAATTTTGGGGCCGCCTGCCAGCTGGGAGATGACACAGCCCCAGTCTCAGGGAAATCAATCCTCTGCCTTGCGGGCCATCTGAGGAAAAGGATGTTCTGGGGTCTCTGACTCAATCGGGGCCCAGGCAGCTCTTGTTGGGGGGAAACAGTGAACACACTTGTCAGCAGGTCGTGGGGAAGGAGGGTGGCCCCTGAGGTCAGGGGTCCTGGTCTTCAACTCCATCTCTGCTCATACGGACTCTGAGCAGGTCAGTTAACCTCTCGGAATCCCAGTTTCCTCACCTGTAAAATGATGACCTCAACTTTACAGGGATGTTGAGAGAATCTGAGATGATATATTTTAATGTAAAAATGTGCCTAGCACAGTGCAGGGCATGGAACAAGAAAATACCAGCAGCTTCACAAGACACCTTAGATGTTTCCCTTAATCAGTTTACTTACAGACCTAAGATGGGATACAGTTGGGGCAGGAGACCGAGCTCTGGCCGGGGGTGGGGTGGGGTGGGGTGGGGGGGGGGGGTGGGGGGTGTTAGGGGGCAAAGTTTCCAGTGTCTCCTAGGTTTCTATTAGCTTCTACCAGTTGTGTGATACTGGGAGAAAAAAACAAAAACCAGCATTCTTAAATTGTTTAAAATTCTAACTTGCCCTCCAGCCCCCGGTAAAAGTTTTAAACGGCCCCTGTAGAAATTTTGGACAACACAGAAAGATGAAGAGAAAATAAAAAGTGAGTCATAATTCTGTCTCCCAGAGACAACTGATGGAATTTCAGTATTTTCATCCAATCCTTCATAGACACATTATACGTACATATCCATACATACCTCTAAAAGATAAAGTTGGCCCATACTATTATATATATGATTTCAGACATTACTCAGGACACAAGTAAAATAAACATTTCCCCATGAACTACATACAAGCACCAGTGCAGGCAACATGTGCCACGATTCGTGGACTCCCCCACTGCGGGGTATTCTGGTTTCTGGGACTTGACACCTACCCCCGCCCCCGCCATCTCCAGCGGAAGGACTGCAGGCTTCTCTTACCATGTACAAGAGGAAAGGCCAGCTCACAAGGTGCCTGGTGACGTTCTCGCCAGTCATCTTCTCGTGACTGTTGGGTGCAAATGTCACCAGCAGGTAGGTGCCCACGACAGCCAAACCGCAGCCGACAAAGGACAAGACATAGCGCCCTGCAGGGGGGAGAGACTGTCACAGGACTCACCACGCGAGCAGCCCAGGTGCAGCCTGCACTCTCGGCAGTGAAAGAACAGGCTTCCTGTGCAACATACTATATGACCTATTACTGTTTGCATTTGGGGTTTTCCTATACTTTAAAAAATAAATTTTACTCCTTACTGTTATGTGTTTTTAAAAGAAAATTTTAATGTTTAAAAAAACTTTAATGAAGTATAACATGCATACAAGAAGTATTTGATGAATTCTCACACAGTGAACACACCCACAGAACCAGCTCCCAGATCAAGAAAGAGAACATTAGGCCGGGCATGGTGGCTCGCGTCTACAATCCCAGCATTTTGGGAGGCTAAGGTGGGAAGATCACTTGAGGCCAGGAGTTTGAGACTGGCCTGGGCAACATAGTAAGACCCCGTCTCTACATAAAATTAAAAAATTTGCTGGGTGTGGTGGCACATGCCTGTAGTCCCAGCTACTCAGGATGTTGAGATGGGAGGATTGCTCGAGCCCAGGAATTTGAGGTGGCAGTGAGCTATGATTGTGCTACTATACTCTACCCTGGGCAACAGAGTGAGACTCTGTCTCAAAAAAAAAAAAAATAAAGAAAGAAAGAAAGAAAACATTAGCAGGACCCCAAAATTCCTCACTTGTGCTCCCTTCCGACCACTAGACTTCACCCCCAGGGTAGCACCATCTTGACTTCAAACATCACTGATAGTTTTGCCTGGTTTTGTGCCTCATCTAATGGAATCATACAGTACGATCTCGCGTGCCTGTGTTCACTCAGTGTTATGTCTGTGAGATCCATCGGTGTTGTGGTGTATAGTGGCAGTTCATTCATCCTCACTGCATGCAGTGGTCCACCGTGTGGCCACAACACAGTCTATCCAGTCCATTGCTGATGGGCATTCAAGGAGTCTCCAGGCTTGGGTTATATGGGTTGCTATGAACATTCTTGTACATGTCATTTAGAAGCACATGTATACACTTCTTCTGGGTATAAAAAAAGGAGTAGAATTCATGGGTCATAGGATATGTGGATGCTCAGTTTGGCGGTTACCGTCAAATTCCAAGTGGTTGTACCAATTTACACTCTTACCAGTGGAGTATGAGAATTCTGGTTGCATTCTGTCAACACTTATATTTTGTCTTTTTCATTTAACCATGCTAGTACGCATTGTAGTTTTTTTTTTTTTTTTTTTTTTTTTTTTTTTTGAGACAGAGTCTCGCTTTGTTGCCCAGGCTAGAGTGAGTGCCGTGGCGTCAGCCTAGCTCACAGCAACCTCAAACTCCTGGCTCAAGCGATCCTCCTGCCTCAGCCTCCCAAGTAGCTGGGACTACAGGCATTCGCCACCATGCCAGCTAATTTTTTGTATATATATTAGTTGCCCAATTAATTTCTTTCTATTTATAGTAGAGACGGGGTCTCGCTCTTGCTCAGGCTGGTTTCAAACTCCTGACCTCGAGCAATCCGCCCGCCTCGGCCTCCCAGAGAGCTAGGATTACAGGCGTGAGCCACCGCGCCCGGCCAGCATTGTGGTTTTTAACATGCATTTTTATGGCTAGAATCACTTTATGGGCAAACTAAAAAACCAAATAATACAAAACACTAAAAGCGAACCCTCAGAGCCTAACATGTACCTTTTAAAAATTACCTCGTCCTTTCCCAATTGGCTATTTAACCTACTTCTAAGGGGACTACCTAAATACTATCAATATTCTACTCCACAGGCCTATGAGAGACTATTAGTGGTCCGGGAGGCATGCTCCTGGGTGAATGACAAGAGCCTCCTGCCTCTTCCCTGGGGTCCAGCCACACTCCAACTGAACCCTATGGGGTTAGTGTTAAGCCTCTTGAGGTCCAGCCTGACCCTAGGCAAGCTGAAAAGGGCTGAGAGTTCTGAGCTGCACATATGATGATCACAGGACTCTGGGTTTTTCTGGGATAGAATGAACTTTACCTATTTGGTCCCACTGTCTCCAGAAAATTTAATACCATATTAAATTTCTTTTATTTTTATTCTTAGTATAAGGCCCCATAAATACAAGAGGTGCTCAAAAAATGGCTGTTCAATTATTCAAAGAATGAATGAACCATGGTTAAACTCAGTAGAGTAAGTCTGTTGTCTTTCTTTAGGCAAGGATGGGTCTTACTCATCTCTATACCTGTGGAGTCCCACACAGATCTAGCACTGGGTGAATGTTTGCTGAATTTAATGAAACTGTGGCCAGGGAAGCCATGTATAGCTGTGCAGGTTGCTCACTGCACAAGGGCACATGGCTGAAGGGGTAAGAAGGGCTAAAATCCAGTCCATGCTCTGCTCACCAGGTCCTGTGCCTACAAAGCTACCCATGTCCAGAGGGGCCATTCTTTCTCCAATTCACATAGGGCTCTGCCTGGACTAGCATGGCTCTTATCCCAGGACTACCCAGAGTGCCCCTGGAAGGGACGCAAATCTCTATACTCATCTCGGAACCAGCCCAGGGTGTCTCCTATCCCCGCCCCACCCCCCAGCCTCATCATCAGGACTATGGCTAATCAGTCTAAGGCTTTTGGTCCTCTTGGCAGTAGTTTCAAAGCCTCCAGTTCTGCCTATTTTTAGAGTAAGATTCATTTCTCTTTTGGCTTCCCGACCCTACCCTGATCTTATTCCACAGCAGTGACTCAGAACAGTGGTTCCCAAACCTGGCTATGTATCTACAACATTCTAAAACAAATCCTGTTTTAAAATTTTTCAGACACAGGACCGAGCGCGGTGGCTCACGCCTGTAATCCTAGCTCTCTGGGAGGCCGAGGTGGGCGGATTGCTCAAGGTCAAGAGTTTGAAACTAGCCTGAACAAGAGCGAGACCCATCTCTACTATAAATAGAAAGAAATTAATTGGCCAACTAATATATATAGAAAAAAATTAGCCGGGCATGGTGGCGCATGCCTGTAGTCCCAGGTACTTGGGAGGCTGAGGCAGGAGGATCGCTTGAGCCCAGGAGTTTGAGGTTGCTGTGAGCTAGGCTGATGCCATGTCACTCACTCTAGCCTAGGCAACAAAGCGAGACTCTGTCTCAAAAAATAAATAAATAAATAAATAAATAAAATAAAATAAAAAAATAAATAAAAAAATTTTTCAGACACAGAGAGAAGTTGAAAGAGTTGTATAGTGAGCACCCATAGTCCCATCACCTAGATTCTAAATTGATATTTTATTATATACTGCTTTATTACACATCTATCCATCTCTCCATCCCTCTATCCATTCATTAATCCTTCTTATTTTTTGTGTACATTTCAAAGCATATTGCAGACATAGTATGAACTTTATCCTGGGGAGCTTTATAAGAATGGCAATGCCTGAGCCCGAGCCCACATCTCAGTATCTCTAGGGACAGAGCCTGGGCCCGCCATCATGTCACTCCTCAACTCCTTGTCATGGCTCACAAGATCCTACATCATCCAGTCCTCCGTGACCCCAACCTCCTCCTTTCTTTACTCACCACCCTCCAGCTACACTGGCCTTACTGACACTGGACACATCAAGTCTGCTCCTGTCTCAGGGCCTTTGCACCTACTGTCCCCTCTATGTGGAACACCCTGCCCACACACCTGGGCATGGCAGTCTCCTGGGTCTAGGCTCAAAATCACCTTTTCAGAGAGTCTAACCCTGACCAGTCTAGGAGAAGTGTCTTCACTTCCTCAAGCCTCACTAAAACATTCTATGTTCCCTGAAGCACTCATTATAACCTAACATTATTTTGTTTACCTAGTTGTTCACTTGTTTATTGTATACACACACGACTGTAATCTCCATGACAGCGGGAGCTCCATCTGTCCTACTGCTGCGTCCTCGGCACCTATGATACAGCATGGCACTTAGCAGGTGTTTTGGGGGATCACTTCTCCACTCCCCGGTTTCCATGTGGCGGGCCCTCCATTTGAGTGACACCTCTGCCTCTTTGCCGTGTTGGTCCACATTTCTCAACTGGGCCGAGCTAATCTATCAAAAAAATTTTAAACATGGGAGCGTTGCTCTTTATTCTTCCTTCTCTGCCCCAAACTATGCGAGGCAATGATTCTGGGCAAGTGTCTCTACTCTGTAAACCCAAGTGATTCTGTGGGGGTCCTGCCCAAGGTCTAACTGGGAGCTGGGGTGTCCTGGGGGAGGGTGAGCAAGGTCACTTGGCCACACACCGGAGCTGCACATGCAGCCCAGCCTTTTGTGAGTGACAAAGTCCACCGTCTCATCTCCTGTGTCTGGCTCCCATTGCTTTAGGACTTCCCAGGGAAAGATGGTGCCTTGCATGGGGCCTCCTAAAATCCCAATAATAGGTGCTCAGTATGGACTGACCAGAACGAACGAAAGTCTATTTTTAAAAGTCTCACGGGTGATTCTGATGTGTCGCCAGGCTTGGGAACCACTGATTTCAACACTCAGCTCTGGGAGCCTGATGAGGGTGGAATATGGAACCACAGAGGGGAGCAGGAGGCACGCAATCCCTAAATCGGGGTGAGCTGGTTGTATGACGAACAAAAAGCATTAAGTGTAAAATTAAGGACAGGGCTCAAATCACGGAACTTACTCAGAAACTCTTTAGGTTTCCATTTTTCTTTGATGAATATGATTCCTATGATGGAGCTGGCTGAAAAACAAAGCACAGGGAGAAGAGGATGAGCCTGCTGTCCGTTATGGGGTGTCCTTTTGTCCGTGCTCTCTGGGCTGGCTCATCTGCATTGGAGCTTGGTACCTCCCACACTCTCACTCATGCTCCCAAGAGCTCAGCCCCTCTGATTCCTCTGTTCTTCCGTTTGGAAAATAAGGCTCCTTTCTGAGCACTGCGTGCTGAGTACTTGCTGTGCAACAGGTGATCTGCACAAGTTATTTCTGGCATGTCCACCCTTGGAGGTGGGTGCTATTATTATTCCTATCTGACAAATGGGGACAGTGAAGTTGAGAGAAGTGAAGGACTCTCTCAAAGTTGAGAGAAGTGAAGGACTCTCTCCCATGCACCTGGTAGGGGAAGGCAAGTCTGAACCCAGGACTGCTGGAGGCCAGGGCTCTTGCTCCTTCCAATGCAACACCTACCTGTGACATTTCCCCATGGTTCTTTTCTCTCCCTGAGCCTTCCTCATTCACAGATATAATCAAATGCCCTCGTGACTGCCCTAAAGGACAGGGCTGGCAGTCACTGTGAACAGACCTGGGTCACTAGCCCAGTGCTGCCTCTTCTGGCTGTGTATCCTTGGGTCAGTCACTTCAGCTGAGTCTCGGTTCCCTGGTCTATGAAATAGTGTGTTGGATCCAGTTGGCCCCACTTGCTGATTGTTAAATATTCAGGAAATCATTGGTAGCTTGAAATTATTCAGTGGGAATAAATAATGTGTACATCATGTAAATTGGTAAACACCACAAACCAGGTCTTCCTCCTCCTCTTTCCCACTTTTCCATCCCTTCTCTCCATCCCTCCCCCTCCATCTCCTCTTCTTTTTCTTCTCCTTTGTGTGTGTGTATCTGTCTGAGAGTCAGTTTATCAGCACACCAATGAACATAACTACTTCTCTGAGTTATAGGGGCAATTAAATAATATATGTAAGTCATTTGGCATGCAGTAAATGCCCAATAACTAAGTTATTATTATTAAAGTACCTGGAATGGTGATAGTCATAGGTATCCAATAAATTGTATTATTATTACTTTTTGAGACAGAGTCTCACTCTGTTGACTGGGCTAGAGTGCCATGGCATTAGCTTAGCTCACAGCAACCTCAAACTCCTGGGCTCAAGCGATCCTCCAGCCTCAGCCTCCCAGGTAGCTGGGACTACAGGCACGCACTACCATGCCCAGCTAATTTTTTCTATTTTTTTAGTTGTTTGGCTAATTTCTTTCTATTTATAGTAGAGATGGGGTCTTGCTCTCGCTCAGGCAGGTCTCGAACTCCTGAACTCAAGCAATCCTCCTGCCTTGGCCTCCCAGAGTGCTAGAATTACAGGCATGAGCCACCGCTCCGAGCCAGTATTATTATTTTTAATATTATTTTTCACTGGTTGACCTCAGAAGCTCTAGACCCCCTTTAATTTCTAGTGGGTGATATCTGAATTCTCATAATTATAATTCAGCCTCTTATTTTTAAGAATTTGGTTATTTGATTCTTATAAAAATTCAAAGACTAATATTTAAATCCCTAATCACCCAGATGCTTATTCCTCATGGTGAATAAAGGTTCTGGGAATCCTTTGGCGATGCCAGCAAGGGGCAGAGCAGAGAGATGTGAGTATGAATCTAATTACCTGTAAGGGCTGGGGTGGCAACATAAATGTAGAAGCTGAGCCAGAAGCAAGACAATAGGAAAGGTTGAGACTATGGCAAACTACTCGCCTCAACTGAAAACATTCCTATTACATTTTTAAAAATACAGGGTGGGAGAAAACAGACCATGTCTGAGGACCTCATTTATCTAGCAGGCTACCAGTTTACCAACCCTGGTTAGGAAAAAAGTAGGTCTTATAACAGGATCAGGGAAAGCAAATAGGTTTCTGCTCCTTTGCCAACTCTGGGTGATCGGCAGTGATTGCCTGAAGTGCTGAGACCCTGAGGCCCCATCTAGGCTGGCTAGGAAGGAATGCTATGATTGATTAATGATGTCTGCCTTGAGCACTGGAGAAGCACACAGTTACCATGCACAAGCCAACCCTGATACAGAGGAGGCCTTAACTCCAGTTGCAATATGACCTGAAACATGACTTTCTCCACTAAGGGCTTCTCAATAGAGCAGTGCTTGCCAGCAAAATGGAAGGAAACATTTCAAAGTAAGTTCCTTGTCCTAGCTCCTATGTACAAAAAGCTATTGTTCACTAATCTACTAACAACTATTCTTTAAGAAGAATGATTTCTTTTCTGATGTTGTTTTATTTGTGATCTCATGAACATTAAAGCTCCTTTGTCTTTTAGTTGGTTCAAAGGCTCCGAAACACTGGTTCACTGACCACAGAAATCATAGAAGAATGGCAGATGAGAAAGTTAATGATGTTTATGAAATGGCTTCAGTGGATGTAAAAAATTGGAGACGAAGCTAAAGATGCATTTCTTAGAGGTGTAGGATATCTGAGCCGTGGGAAAGCTTAGTTTGCCTTGACAGTATAAAGATGCACAGGTTACGGTTTTACCTTCCTCCTGCGGTAGAAATAAAAAGCAATTCTGATAAAGTTTCTGAATCTTAAAACAAATTCTGGAGCCAGACATCCTGGTTCCTATCCCAGCCCTGTTACTCACTAGCTGTGCGATTTGGGGAAAGTAACTACATTACTTCGTGCCTCAGTCTCCTCGCCAGGGATAAATACAGTATTCCCTTTAAAAGGTGGCTGGGAGGATTAACATCTGTAAAGCACTGAGAACAGGGCCTGGTGTGTATGAAGCCCTTTGTGCTAGGCTATTATTATCAAAGCAAAAGCCGGTTTGTTCAACGAGCACCTCTGATCCTGGTGGTGACACTCTGGTCACACAGGGGGGTGAGCCCCAAGGAAGGGTGGGGTGGGGCCTGGTCTTACCGATCACGGAGACTGCGCTGAGGGGCACGATCAGGGAGAGCGGAGCGAAGGCGTAGGAGGCGAACACACCCAGCTCACCCAGCAGCATCAGGAAGAGGCCCAGCCACCATGTCTTGGTCTTGAAATAGGCCCGAGGGTCCTTGGAGCCTGCCAGGCGGATGTGGCAATACTTCTAGAAATCCGAGAAAGAATGTACTTTGTCCAGATGTTTGGGGGAAAAATGCTATGACGTACATATCCCACATCTACCCCCCACCTTTAAAAATAAATTGGGAAGACCTGTCCAGTTTTTCTGGAGTCCATACTCTGAGAAGAGTGAAGCAGTAGGATTCTAAACACTAGGTAGTTATCCCAGGACAGTAGCTCTCCAACTGGCTGGGAAGCCTTCAAACGTCCCTGGGAAGCTTTGAAAAAATACACATCTGAGCCTCATGCTCAGATTCAGGTGTGGAATGGACATTCCTAACGCACAGCACAGGCAACGCACAGTCTCAGGGTGGGAACCACGGTCTAAGGATCCCACTTTGGCCTGGCTCTCGGGTTGACCCTCTCCATGTTTGGGATGCCCGCTCAGCTACACTCCCTTTTGCCAGCAGCACCTGCTGGACAGCCATGGGGGTATCAGTGGACCTTGTCCTCCCTGGGGTGGATACCGGGCTTAAGCATGGCCAATATTCTTTTTTGGGGAAATGTGAACTTGGAACATAGAAATCAAGACAGTAACCAATGAAGGCTAGAAAGTCGCGTTGACTTAGGGGGTCAAGTCTGCCATTTGGGGAGGACTGTGATGTGGGCTGCATAGAAGTGGATAAACAAGCAGAGCTGCCGGTCTGCAGAGAGAAGGGAATGAACCAAACAAGTAGCTAAGAGACCTCGCCAGTCTCAGCAATGCGCGGAAACACTTCACACACGGTGGGGGCTGAGATGCACAAGGTACAGGTGGACAAGCACACACAGGTGTCCATAGGGACAACAGTCTCACGCCTGCCCCCAGGAGGGAGAGCGGCTCGCTGCAGGCAGCAGCTGGGTAGCGCTGGCAGGGTGAAGGTGGCCAGTGTGCTGTGGGATTTATGCTGTCAGCAGGTGGCCAGTCTTAGTTTGGGTTTCCCAGCAGCAGTCCCTGAGACAAGGGATCGGGAGTAGTTTGGGAGTTGTTTGTCTGGGAGATGATTCCAGGAAGGGAAGGAGAAAGTGAGGAAGAGAATGGAGAATCAGTGAAGGGTGCATTAATGGGTGAATTTGTCCCGTGGGCAACTGGGGCTCAGTCTCACTGGGAACCCTCTGAAAACACCTGTGAAATTCACCTCAGCATCACTCTGCCCGGGGACAGGAGCCCGGGGCATCTATCCACTGACTCCAGTGGGGTAAACAGCCCCTCCCCAACACGCAGCCCAACTGCACCTATAAACCAGGAGAACCCACTCCCTGGAGCCCGCATGAGAAGCTCCTCAAGCTAACAACTTGCTCCAAAACACACCTGCTTGAGAACTCAGACAGGCCGAGGGGATTGGGAGTAAGGTGCTTATCTACAGTGGTGGCTACAGGGCAGCCCCAGTGACTTTTAAGTAATGCACAGTGCTGTAATCAGAGGTGTGACAAAACTAGGACAATTCCGGCAGCCTTGTAGCAAGGCAAACAGGAGAGGATGAGATCAGAGCCAGGAGGACAGTTAGGAGGTCACTGCACAGCCCAAGGAGAGAGGTGAGGACCAGGCTAGGAGGGTGAGGGTGGGATGGAGGGGGCCACCAAATCTAGAGAGATTCTGGAATAGCCCATAAGGTTCTGTCCCTAGTACCGCCCAGGGATAGAGTAGGGAAGGCCTCACAGAGAGGCGGCAGCTGGACCTGCCCCAGACGGTGCTGGGGACTGAAACTTACCTGGAGGTTAAGGGCAATGCTGACCACAAGGTGCCCAAAAATCGCCAAGAGGGCGCCGATCAAATTTTCCTGTAAGGAAAGCCCACAGGAGCAGATGTGAGTTGGGCCTAAGCCAAGGGCCCCAGGACACATTTGATACCAAAACTGGTCGCTGTCCCAAAACAAACCAGGAAAACAATATCCATCACAAAGCCACACCCAGACCTTGACTGGAATTTTACTACCCACAATCTGGTTGTTTTGCTGGTTTACAAAACACTGCCCTGAGTTGCACACTTCCAGAAAACACCATCCAGGCCTGGTCACGATGGCCTGACAAGGACTAAACCTGCTCTGCTATTCCCTTTTAGGTACTGACTTGCCACCGTCTTGTTTGGAAGAGCAATGTTCAGAAAGGAGAATTTACAAGAGAAATACAGGCAGGGATACTTTTGTTACCTTAACAATGTTTCCATGAACTCTCTCTACTGGCCAACTTGCTGAGGGCATTTTTAATTATTTACTTTATAAAAAGTTAATTTACGTCACCTTACAAGTAAGGTTCACAGTCCTTGGCATGGTATTTTTTTTTTAACTTTGTAAAATAATTATCAAACATATATTTGCTGTAGAATAATTAGGAAATACAGGTAAATACAAGGTAATTACACAACAGAAAAGTCCCCTGTAATTCTATGTCCCAGATATAATTACTATAAACATTTTGGTTCTTATTCCTGCAAACTTTTTCATGTCCGTAAATTTAGACATCAATGGAAATGTTAATTTACCTTATAAAAATAAGGTTACAACCTGTTTTATAACCTTTTTAACTTAACATATTGTGAACACATTCCCCTGTCAGGCATATCTAATTCATCATTTTTAATAAATGTCAAATAACTCATTGTTTGGATATGCCATAGTTGATATTACTGCTTTGGGTATTTAGGCTGCTTCCTGCTTTCTGAAGCAATGCTGTGATTGAATATCCTGGTAGATACAGTTTTGTGCATTTGTGTGGATTAGTCCCTGGGGATCAATTCTTAGACGTGGAATTGCTCGGTCAAAATGTACGTAAGCCTAGCATTTAAGTCACACACATTATGTCCCCAACACACTTACTGGCATTGTTCTACCATTAAATGCCAAAGGAACTTCTGTCAGCCAGAAAATAATCCTCCTCCCCAGGATGTGCCCTTCCCAGCTCCTCCTCGGCTCACGTGGGTCATCCACCTGCTTGCCCTCCCTGGTGAAATCCTGCCCATTCTTTAAGGTGTGGGCCAGGCCCCAAGGAATCAGCAGAGATCAAGGCAAACACAGTCTTGGCTCTCACAGCATTCAATCCATCTGCACAGATAATTGGCAAGCTGCCTCACAGTGGCCAGAGTTGGCCGAGGTGGTTTCCTCAGGACAGAGGCAGCAGTAAGGGTGAGGTCAACCTTGTCTCCCTCCTTTCCTCTCCTGGAATGCACCATGCTTAGAGGGCAGGTCTTCCCCGAGAAGAGGCAGTTGGCCAGGGATGAGGGCAGGAGGAGGGAGAAAGAGGCCTATTGTCTGAGATCCCCATGGGGGCTGTCCCTCACTTCTCCCCCTGCAAGGCACAGGAAAGACCCTGTGCTGGGAGCCAGGAGACCCTGGATCTAGACCTAGCTGAAACCTGAGACAAGTCACCTCCCCTGGTCGGGCTGTGTGCCCCCCACCCCCAGAAAAGGTAAGTGCCAGAAACTGACTTAGTTCACACACAGCTAGATAGCATAGAGCCAGCTGAGAGAAGAAACTGCATCCTACCTATAGGATCATAGCATCTCTGAGCTAAAAGAGACCAACCAGGCCAGGGTTTCCCTAACTGGGTTCCCAGAGATGTTAATGTATAAATGGGGTTCCAAGGCAAATCACACCATGTAGCTAAATAAGCTTAGGAAAAACCACTACATCATCGACCCACTGCTTGGAGACCCACAGTCAGATGTCGGAGGCTCTCTGGAGCTTCTCCTTGTCTAACGCAGGTTTCCCAAAGCTATTTGCATCTAGAACTCTGAACCTGGAACCCAGCCATTGGCATCTGTAGTAGACATCTATGATTCTCACCCGACTGATATTTTAATCACTTTCCTTCTGTTCTAGTAATAACACCCTGATTTTGCTGGGGACCACTACCCCTCCCTCCATCCTCCCCTGGACGAGGATGGGCCTATGACCCAGGCATGATCTAAGCCAGGTAGGTCAGAAACTCTCTTCTTGGGATCCAAATCTTGGACTGAGAAACAGAGAGGCTAAAAAAAGGCTGGCTCACTTTGGCCCCAGGCAAGGCCTGGACAGATTATTAGTTCCCTCTCCTCAGATCCTGGAGCCCTCCTGGTTCCTGTCCTTCCCGAGGCTGGGAGCAGCCCCACAGTCTTTTGTTTAAGGGCTGATTTCTATTACTTGCAACCAAAAAGCCTAATAGAATCAATGCTACATGGAATGCAGTTTGGGAACATGTTTATGATTAGTCTAACTTCTTATAACATGGTGTTTTTTTCCTCCCCTTTAGAGATGTGGCTTGGGTGGACAAAAAGGCTGGTTTTACTTAAAAAAAAAAAAAAAAGATGTATTTATTGTTAAAGAAACAAATTCACAAATCTAGGTTTTTTGAAATAAAATCTTATGACAGAAGTAATTCCCATAAATCTAACAAATTATGCTTATGAATATAAGGAATCTTAATTTCTCTTAAATGTTCTAATGCTGCTCACATACAATAAAATGTTATAACTTTCCATTTAAAAAGTCAATTACAGGAATTCTACTTCCAGGAAGATGGAGTAGACATGCTTCTCCCCATTCGTCCTATTATGTACAACTAAAACCTTGGATGGATCTCACATGTAAAACAAACATAAGACTCTGAAACATGGAGAGAAGGTGGCAGACAGGCTGGAAACCTGGGTCCTGAGGAACAACATGGTGGTGGGTTTCTTGGGTTTTCTTCTTGCCTCATATATCCCAGCCTTGGAGCTGAAGAAGCCAGCACCCTGGAAATACCAACAGGTGCAGGAAAATGCCCCATTTTCTGTAGCCAGAGGATCATGAGATGGGCGGCTACACAAGAATAAAACTTTTAGAAAATAACCACTCTACAAACACACACACACACACAAACATATGGGGCCAGGATAGGCTGAAGAGAAATCCTAGACTTCTACCCTTTCAAGGCTGTAACAAGGCACCTATATGGCAAGTGTCCCCCAAATTTATATGCTGAAGTCCTAACCCACAAGGTGATAACAGTAGAAGGTGGTGTCTCTGGAAGGTGACTGGGTCATGAGAGTGGAGTCCTCACGAATGGGATCAGTACTCTTACAAAAAGGAGGCTCAAGAGAGACCACTCGCCCCATCCCCCACGTGAGGACACAGCGAGAAGGCACCATTTATAAGAAGCAGGGCCCTCAACAGACACTGAATCTATCAGTGCCTCTGATCTTGGACCTTGCAGTTTTCAGAGTTGTGAGAGATACATTTGTTTATTAACTACCCAGCTTATGGTATTTTGATGTAGCAGCCCAAATGGACTAAGATGGCACCCCAAGTCCCCTGCCAGGACTACCCAAGAAGGTCAGGCAGGGAGCCGCTGGCCAGTGACCAGGCATCTCCCTCCCACAGTATCACTCGACACCACAAGGGGAGCCTGGACTTCTATCTTTGATGCACAAAAGTTTTTAATTTTGATGAAGTCTAATTCATTGTTTTGTTGTTGTTCACACTTTTGGTGTCTTATTTTAAAACTGTTACCTAATCCAAGGTCACACAAATTTATACCTATATTTACTTCCAAGAATTTGATAATTTTAGCTCTTTGATCCATTTTGAGTTAATTTTTGTGCATGGTATGAGGTGGGAGTATAACTTCATTCATCCATTTACATGTGGTTAAGAGTATCTAACAGTATTTAAAAATATCAGCATTGAAATGTGCCAGAAATTACATACATTGCAAATATTTAAACTCATAATGAAAAAGTTTAGAACTAAAAGAATGTGTGAGGAATAAGTTTGAGAGTCTGGAAGAAAGCCCTGCATTAAGTGTGGCCCTTGTGGAGGGTACAGAGCGAGGACTTCAGCCACCAGGGGAGGGAGAGACCAGGCAGTGGCAGGGGTGTGAGCCCAGCAGTGCAGTTACCCAGCGCCAACGTGGAGGAGTGGTGGTTACAGAGAGTCAACTGGCAGCCATTCTACAGGAACTTCCTCGGGCAGGTAGGGGACAACAGCACTCTGGTTCTGGCTCCCAAGGACACACCAAGGGTGCTCTGTTCTCTTTGTGGGAGACTAAGGAGAGCTGGAGACAGGCTCTGGGAGTTACAAGGAAACCTGAGGGATGGTTGTTCAGGACACTGGGGGACCGACCACGCAGGTGCGGGTCCAAGGGTGGCCTGGTGGGATTTGCTCCTCTAAGTCTCGGTTGCTTCCTCTTCTGCCAGTGGAGATGACAGCACCTGCCTCTCAGCACTGTGTTGGGGACTTCCTGAGACAATCTGGAGGAAGCACTTACCTCAGTACTTAGAACCGGGGTGAACCACATGAAACTGCCAATATTCAACCACTTCTGACCTACAAAAATGGTAGTTTCATATGGTTCAACCTATGACTAGTAGCTGCTATTTTTTTCATAATTTTTATTTGAAAACACGAGGGGGTACAGTGTTCTTGTTACACAGATGAATTGTATAATGTCAAAGTCAGGGCTGTTAGTGTACCTGTCACCAGAACAGCGTCCGCTGTCCCCGATAGGTAAGTTTTTATCCCTCATCCCCCTGCCATCCTGCCATTTTATTTCAACCCCAAGAGGCCAAGCTGGCCTCTGACGAGATGTTCACTAAATCCACAAGGATTCAGTCTGTGATGTTTTAACAACTCACCACCAGCGGAAGTAGGAGCTGCAGGGGACAGGGAAGCCGGCTGCTGCAGCCACACAGACACGCCAACGCTATTTCAGAGAGGGGATGGGAGAGGTGGGATCTAGAAGTGAAAACTGTAAACGTCTCAAGGATAAACCAATCTAAGCGGCAAAAATACACAAGGGTAAAAGGTTGAGGCCAAGGGAAAACTTC